CAAGTCATTATGCTCAATTAATACTTGACAAAGGTGGCAAGAGCATACAGTGGAGTAAAGACAGCCTCTTCAATAAATGGTGTTGGGAAAATCGGACAGCTACATACAAAAAAAATGAAGCAAGACCACCAACTTACACCATATACAAGAATAAACTCAAAATGATAAAAGAATTAAATATGACTCATGAATCCATACAAATCCTAGAAGAAAATGTAGAAATCAAAATTTCAGACATCATACACAGCAAAATTTTCAGTGATACAATGCCTAAGGCAAGAGAAATAAAGGAAAATTTGAACACATGGGACTACATCAATCTTAAAAGCTTCTGCACAGCAAAATAAACAACCATCAAAATGGAAAAGAAACACACTATTTGGGAGAGAATAATTGCCACTGATACATTAGATAAGGGGTTAATTTCCAAAATATATAGAGTACTCATACAACTCAACAAAAGGAAGACAAAGAACCCAATTAAAAAATGGGCAGAGGACCTAAATAGACACCTCTCCAAACAGGACATACAAATGGCCAAGAGACATGAAAAAATGTTCAATGTCACTAATCATCAGAGAGATGCAAATTAAAACAACAATGAGGTCTCACCTCATTCCTGCTAGAGTGGCTGCCATCAACAAATCATCAAACAAGTGCTGGTGAGGGTGTGGAGAAAAGCAAACCCTAGTACACTGCTGGTGGGAATGCAGACTGGTGTAGCCACTATGGAAAACAATATGGTGTTTCCTCGAAAAATTAAAAATTGAACTTCCATTTAATCCAGTCATCTCACTTCTAGGAATATACCCTAAGAAACTTGAAATACCAATTAGAAAGTATATATGTTCCCCTAAGTTCATATCAGCACCATTTACAATCGCTAAGATCTGGAAACAGCCCAAGTGTCCATCCATAGATGAGTGGATAAAAAAAACTGTGGTACATATACACAATAAAATACTATGCAGCTGTAAGAAAGAAAGATCTCTTGTTCTTTGAGACAACATAGAGGGATTTGGAGAGTATTATCCTAAGCAAAACAACAAGATAACCAGAGAAAGACAATTATCACATGATATCACTTATTTGTGGAATATAATGAACAAAACAAGCTGAGGGGCAAAATAGACCTGGGGACATGGAAGTGGAGTGCAGACTGACAAACTCAGAAGAGGTGGATGTTGGGGGAGGGAAGAGATAAACCACAAAACTTATACACATATATGGATAGACAAGAACATAAGCAATAATGCTGAGAGATGGGGTGCAGAGTTGGGATGTGGGTGCCAATGGGAGAAAAAAAGGAGAAACATCTGTAACAAAAATAAATAAGTAAACATTACTACAAAAATGTGAATCCAGGTTGCTGCAAGAATTTAGAATATATAACTACATTTTTCATGGTTGTTAATAGAAATCATAAGCTCTTTTAGTGACCATATACTTCACATATTTTTATTCTTTGTCATTAGAAATAATAATTTTGTATACATGTACAGTGCAGCTTTAATCACCTCCTGAGCAAAAAAGTCCCCGTCATTTCAAACCGGCATACAAGTGTATTGTAAGACGACCTGTGGTTTAAAACATTGAGATCTAAATTTAGCTAAATTTAATAAGAATGGAAATTCAAATAGCCCTTTTAATAGAGGAACTACAGTGATAACAATCTTCCATAGCTGCCTGGTTACCTGTAGATTCTTTTATGAGTTTATACTTGCTACCCTGCTTATAGCATGTGTTTGTATGTGGAAACATTTTCGGAGTAAAGACTCACATACAAGACAAAATGAACTCGTAGCTTTGGTGATGGGTTATGTTGATGTGAATGAAATCCTTGCCATCTCATAAAGATGTGTATTTCTGTACACACAGAATATACTCCAATATCATATTTCTATGATGCAGTCTTTCCTACATTTTATTTCATTTTTGAAAAAGATGTTTTATTGATTTTTTAGAGAGAGAAAGGGAGAAAGATAGAAACATCGATGTAAGAGCCCTGGCCAGTTTGGCTCAGCGGTTAGAGCGTCGGCTTGCGGTCCGGAGAGACCCGGGTTCGGTTCCCGCTAAGGGCACGTACTTCGGTTGCAGTTTGTCCCTGGCCCTGGTTGGTCGTGCGGGAGGCAGCCACTCGATGTGTCCCTTCACGTCGATGTTTCTCTCTCTCTCCCTTCCTCTCTCTCCCTCCCACTCTATCTGTACAAAAAACGGAAAAATGTCCTCGGGTGAGGATAAAAAAAAAAAGGAGAAACATCGATGTAAGAGACAGACATCAATCAGCTGCCTCCTGCACGCCCCCTACTGGGAATTGCTGGGCATGTGCCCTGACTGGGAATTGAACCAGGACCTCTGAGCCCATGAGATGACATTCAATCCACCGAGCCTCCCCAGCCAGGCTTATTTCATTTTTTAAAAATTATCTTTATTGTTTAAAGTAATACAGATGTCCCCCAGTTTTTCCCCCATTAACCCCTTCCATCCTACTCCTGCCCCCCAGGCCACACGATTTTCTGTGTCCATGGACTATGCATATACAAACATAATTTTTTTTTTTTTTTTTAATCCTCACCCGAGGACATTTCTCCATTTTCTGTTCAGATAGAGTGGGAGGGAGAGAGAGAGAGAGAAACACCGACACGAAAGGGACACCATCGAGTGGTCGCCACCCGCACAACCAACCAGGGCTGGGGACAAACCGCAACCGAGGCACACGCCCCCAGCAGGGACCGAACCCGGGTCTCTGTACCGCACGCTGGCGCTCTAACCACTGGGAAAAACCAGCCAGGGCCAAACATAAATTCTTTGATTAAACTCTTGTCACTCCTCCACCTCCCTTCGAATTGACAGTGTGTTCCAGTTCATTTGGTTGCATTTTTTCTAATACTATACAAAATAATAGTGCAAATAACAAGTGATAATGTCTTGGATTCAATGAAAACATTACATAGATTAGAGCACATAAGGTCAGAAGGTGCCTTAGCAATGTTATAGCAACTCCTTATGGAAACTCAAATTTAAGAGTCAATTTCTGGGTACAGACACAGATTTTGATGACAAACAGGTACAGTCTATTGATTAGCTTTTCAAATACTTTCACCTATCTTATGTAAATCATTAGACCATAAATTTGTAAATTCAATGCAAATCACTTTTTAAGACATTTCTTCTGTAATATTAGGTACATGAAACATAATGTTCATGTAAGTTAGAAAGCATAATGAATTATTGTTGAGTGTAAAGGAGTAAATTTTAACTTTGTACAAAAATCTACACAAGACCACATATTGAATTATACCATTTTCTAAATAAAACTGAAACACTCTCAACACTAAAATTTAACCTGATCCTTATTGTACCGTTTTCAATCATTGTTCATTTTCAGTGTTACTGTGGAAAAAAAAATATTCAAAGGATATTTTTTAAACCACATGTTAGATTCAGAATTAAAAAGGCATATTTTAATGGCAGTTGGTTTAAAATAATTTGACATGAGTGCAGTAACAGTTTGGAAAATGTGTCTATGCTTAGTTTTGCTTCCAAATTTGGACTTTGAAACTTATCGTCTGTCTCAGAAATAAATACGAAGCTGTGCAGATAATTAAACATTTGCCCTGGGGGATTTATTTCCAGTTAATTAAAACCATACACTAAGTGTATACTTGCTTCACTGATTATTAAATTTAAATCATATGTTAACTACTCAGTTTTCTCACTTGTCCATCAAACATTGCTTGTGGTAGGTTCGAGAAACAAACTTTCTCATTATATTCCAAACTGTGTTGTTTAAAGCTGTCTCCTAGTTTGTGGAAGGATAGAGAAAAGAGGGAAAGGAAAACAAAAAAATGATTTATTTTAGAGTTCACCTAAATGAGCTCTGTCAGGGAATTAAAATATGACTGAGCAATATGAACTCAGTAGAAAACCCATTGTACGTTATAGAGGTGCAATTCTACCATCCCCAGATTTCTTCATGGCCACAGGCATATGAGATTAGCCCATGGTTTTCTATATCTATAGATTACTACCCTTTTAACTGCATGAAAAATATCCACTAGATTGTAACCTCTAGGCAGGCAAAAAATTGGCATTTTCTTTACTATAGACTCACCAGAGTCAAGAATAGTGTCTGGCATAGAGTTGGCCCTTGATAAATATTTGTGGAATCAATGGAAGACCTATTTTTTATTTTTCTGCTTACCTGCTCACGTGTTCTTTATGATGGTTTTTAAGGAACCCCCAGAGAGTCCTCAAACATCTAACAGGGAACCCTTTCTAGTTTTGCAAAAGTCCACAGTCATTGGAAACCTTTCAGTCAGATGACCAAAAAAGATGAACTTATGCTGATCCTTCATATAAACGTGCTATACAAGGGTGAAGATGAAATTGCACAAAACAGAAGGTCTGCAGTGCCACTTCACTATTGTTCTATTGGTACGGTTCCTGAAGATGAACTTAATTACCACTGACATTTGAAAATGTCTACATCTGGCTTTTTCTTTCTTTCTTTTTTTTACTTTTTTTGGTATGTGCCCCTAGCGGGAACCGAACCCAGGACTCTCTGGTTCGCGGTGCTCCAACCACTGAGCCAAACCAGCCAGGGCTACATCTGGCTCTTTCAAGGACTCAAGACTCTCATATATGAACAACTACAGTAATGGAAGCATTAAGAATATTAAAATTAGATATTTCTTTAATCTCTATTTTGCCTTATTTTCATATTCTTTTGCATAATTCTCTTAAAATTTTCACTGATGCATAAAGCCTGCTTATATTTTCTTTTTTGTTGTAAAAAGATGTCCCTACCATCTCTACCTTGCAAACTTTGTGCAGACATCTCATGTAGTATTTTCAGAAAAACTTACTTATTGGTGAAAATATTTAAGTATTTTAATGGTATCTTTTTAAAAATAAACAAATCTATCATATAGTGCTGGGAGTGCTCTATTTTCTAATTTAAAATAATGACTAGGGGTTTTACTTGTTTGTTGTGTCAGATTCTGCAAAAAATGACAATATAACAAAGATCAGTGAAGAAACAAATCATTCTGTGTGTGACCAAGATCATCCAAGTGGTAAGTTATGGGATCTTTTTACAGTTGTTTTTTGTTTTTGTTTTTTTTCCTGCTGAAGAATATTACATTTTTAAAAACTCAGATTTTAGTTTTTCTGGGTAAAATGGAACCCAGTAATATGTTATTAGAACTGAATACCAGATGATTAGTAATGGCCACATTTAGAAGAGACATTTGCTCTCCATAAGCGTCATCACTCATTACATTTGTGCAAGGCTGGCTTTATTTACTTAATTATTTTTACAGCTTGAACTTTATAGGCATTGGGTTTACAATTCCTAAATGAAGATATAATAACAATGAGAATAAAGGTGAGACATATAGAAAATAGATCCAGGAGATTAGAGCTACAAATCCTCAGAATACCAGAAAGAGAGAATTGACCAAAGAGAAATGAAGTGATCTTTAGAAAAATAACAAAAAATGTTCTCCTTGCAAACCAGTTCCTCCATCCAAAATACAAAAGTATATGTTATATTTATAGGGAAAGATAATGAAAACACAAAGGAGAACAGAAATCTATAGAGGCTTGTGGAATTTATGGAGATCAGTGATTAAAAAAAAAAAAGCTTTTAAAGCAAATAAGAAAATCAGGTTATAAGATAATTCACCAAAATCAGATTACCCTTTTCCTTCTTCTTCCACAACTCTAAACACTAGAAGAAATTGGAGTAACATTTTCAGAGATCTAACTAACATAGCTTCTATATTTAGTGAAGTTATCATTAATACATGAAGTCAAGAGTAATGTTTTCTCTGGAATATAAAGATTAAGAAAATATACCACCCAGGTATGCATTCTGAATAAAGCAGCAGAAAGCCTATGCAAAAACAATAAATATAGAAAAGAAGAAAAAATTGAAGATTGAGAAAGGTACAATTAAGTAGGACCATATAAGAGACTTATTATATGTACGAAAATGTTGAAATAATTGTTTCAAATTGGTATAAAATATCTTCTTAAATGTTCACTTTACCTTTGAAAATTATAGTATGTGTTTTTTTTAATGAGAAAGGAGACACTTAGCACTCAGCAATAAAATTTTAAATAAATTAGACCATTACTCCATTACATTCACTGAAAACAACAAGACAACCTAGAAAAAACTATGTGTATATGTCTCAGAGAGAGAGAGAGAGAGAGACAGAGAAGCAAGAGTCTATTTAAAGGAGAAAATGGATAGCCAGAGATGAGTTCAGAATTTGAAACTCTTTTTATGTTAAGGCATTTGATGCTTCTTCAAAGGGTATCTTGAGTCACATTGCTCAAAAGTGTAAGGGGCTCTGGTAAATCCCCTGTTCCTTAGGTTGAAACCCCAAAGATATGTACCCTCCCAGTAAGAGAAAACCAGCAATAGATCAGCCTTCTGAAAGATTGCTGACCAGCTTTAAATCATCTCAATCCCCCAATTAAATTAAAATCAACCCAGATTGCTAGTCCCTCTAGGCACCTAAGAAAGGTGATTGCAAAATACAGTCACCCCTCATTTATCTCCTTTATCGTGGTCAATCAGTTCCAGACTCTACCGCAGTAAATGAAATTCCGCGAAGTAGGAATCTTTATTTATATACAGTCGTCCCTGCCACTTGCACTTCGACTTTGGCGGCCTCACTCTAAAACCGCGAAGAGTGAAGCCGCAGAAGTCGAAGCGCGAAGTGGCAGGGACGACTGCATGTGTTAGATGAAAAGGGAAGTGCTATGAGTTTCAAAAATTTACAGTAAGCAATTCGTTAAATATAATGTTCAGCATCCACATACAAGAAATAGCCAGAATAAATGAGAAAACAGACAGCATGAAAAACAGTCAAGAGTGGCTAGCCACGGGGTTGAAAATATTAGAGAGAAACACAAAGTATAAACCACAAACGCAAAGTATAATGAAATAAAGACATGACTGAAAAATGTGGACGAAAACTAGAGATTCAAAAGAGAAAAAGAAAAAAAGTCTAAAAGTAGAAGATGCCACGGCTGAAATAAAAAAATTCAATGAATAAATTTCTGGTTTAACAGCATATTTGACAAAGATGAGAGGAATCTTATGTCACAAGAATATATCCAAAATAAAAACTGTAGAGAAACTCTAAGCAAAATAAATACAAAACTAGGCCCATCATAGTAAAACTGTTGAAAATAAAAAATTAACAGAACAGCCAAAAAGCAATCTTCAAACAATTGGACTGACAGCTGATTTTTCAGTAGATGTGATGGAAATAAAAAGACAATACAAGAGAATAGCCCTGGCTGGTTTGGCTCAGCGTTTAGAGCGTTGGCCTGCAGACCAGAGAGCCCCACATTTGGTTCCCACTAAGGGCATGTACATCGGTTGCAGTTTGTCCCCGCCCTGGTTGGGGTCATGTGGGTGGCAGCCAATCGATGTGTCTCTCTGACATCAATGTTTCTCTCTCTCTCTTCCCCTTCTCTCTCTCCTGCTCTATCTGAAGATAAATTCAAAAATGTCTACAGGTGAGGATAAAAAAAAGAGAGAGAGAGAATAGCTGTCAACCAAAAGTTCTAAACTCAGGGAAAATATATGTTTTAAGAATAAAGGTTAATTAAGATTGTTAATTAAGAAAAGTTAATCACTGGAAAAAAATTCTAGTATTTTTAAGGTAGGATAATACTGATTCCATTTAGAAGGTCAAAGTTGAAGGAAGGAATTAAAAGCGAGAGACATGGTAATTATTAAATGAATATTAACGACAAATCAATAACAATGATTACAATAATAGCAGTGTATTGTGGGAGTTAAAATGTATTTAAATTAAACTGTAATTGAAAAATAATTTTAAAAAGATATACTTAGATTTGAAATACACTTAAATAATGACACATATTGAGATTAGGTGAATTAATTGTGCTAACGTTTTTTCTTTTTTTTTTTTTTGTGGAGAATAAAAACACCAATTAACATTAAAATGTGATGGCTCTGTTGATACCTAAGTCAGAAGTGAGATGAGGCCTGTGATGTCCCAGATAAATGTCTGGAGAGACTTCCCCTACCAAAGTCCAGGGAAGAGGAACTCAGGCAGAGCCAAACAGATTTCCTGAGTTGAGGAGACAGAACTGAGACTTCTGGAAGGCCAAAGTATCTAGTATTTTCAGAGAAGAATACTGGAGAAAGAGCTCCACAGAGGAAACTCTTTCGAGACCTATAAAGGGAATCCCTCCAGTCTTCAGCTGGATACTGATCAGTGCATACATGAGAGACAATTACCAGTGCATGCATGAGAGGCTGGATAAAGAACACTAAAGGATTTGAGGGAATGATACCTGAAGCTTCTACAGGACTGGAAGAAATGCCTGCTCTAGCCAGACAGGAAAACCAAAAAATTCATAGAGGGTTTAGAAGGATTTTGCCTCAGTAGTGGGCCAAACTAGCATACTAAATGCTACTCTTGTCCTCCCCAATTCAGTTTCAAAGTAAGATTTGAAAAGATCAAACTTTTTCTGAATAACTTGACTGATTCCAGAATGAAGCTCAAAACTATTTATGGAAATATAAATATTTCTCATACTCATCAGAGTAATGGACAAAATTATTAGGCATTAAAAAAAATGTACTGCAAGACAAATCTCAGTGCATCTCTTGTGTTTCTGCATATTTTACAAGCAGAGGTCCTGATTGTCTTTGTACTGGCCAATCTTTACCAGGATGTTTGTAGAGTGAACAGTCTTGGAAGGCAAAGAACCCATCTGCCTCGGGAGCAGAGAACAGACTTGCTTACAGCCTTAGAAGATAAGAATACTGCCCCTTTCCCAAGGGACAGACATGCTTACCATCCACTATAAAATATTCAAATTCTTTAAGATCAAGGTTCCCGCTATAATACAATTCACTGAGTATGCAGGTATCACTTGGTCACCCAATGGGAGTTGAGGCTCAGGGAACAAGTGCAAGTACCTGGCTACTACTATTGCTCTGAATAATTAACGGTTCTTCATCTCTGGCCTGGGACTTCTGTCAGCAGGCATGGAATTGTGACTAGCTAACTTACTGTTATGCAAGTGGGGTAAAATCTCAGACCCTTCCCAATTCTTGAAAATAAGCAGAAAAGTATGATCAATAAAAGAAATCAATTGATAGAAATTATTCCAGAAATGGCACACATAGAGTAATAATATGAAAAGTCATTTAAAAAGTTATGATTACTGTAAAAAAATAATTGTCTATGTTAATTAGAGACATAGCAGATATAAAAAGACCAAAATTGACTTTCCAGAGATTAAAAACAATGGCTGAAATGAAAATCGTACTTAATAGGAATAATGGCAGGTTAGAAACTGCAAAAGAAAAGATCGGTGAATTTGAATCTGTAGCAATACAAAGTATTCAAATTGAAACAGAGAGAATAAATGACTGAGGAAAAAGAGAAGGCCATTGGTGAGATATGGAAAACTCCAAGGCTAACTCCATTTCCAAAATACATAAAATCTCTGAAGGCAGACATGAGGGGGGAAACAAATAAAATTTGAAGTAATAATGGCTGAAATTTTTCAAAAATGTCATGAAAACTATTAATCCACATATCCAAGAAGTTCTATGACTTCAAAGCACAAGAAAACATAAAGAAAATTATACCGAAGTACATCATAATCAATTTTCTCAACATCAGTGATAGAGAAAAATCTCAAAAAAAAAAAAAAAAAAGAAGATGTTACATAAAGTGGAACAAACATAGGATGAAGCAGATGTCTCATCAGAAACAACAAACTACAATTACAGGCAAAAAGATAGATGAATCTCACAAATATAATATTAAACTGAAAAAGGCAAAAATCATATGTGCTGTGCAATTCATGTCAAGTTTTGTTTTGTTTTGTTTTGGTATGTGCCCCTAGTGGAAACCAAACCTGGGACTCTCTGGTCTGCAGGCCAATGCTCCAACTGCTGAGCCAAACTGGCCAGGATATATGTCAATTTTTAAAAGGTGTACTTAAGTGATAAAAACAATAAAGAAAATTTAGGTAGTTACTACTCTGACTGTCGGTATTGATTAAA